CGTCCTCCCAAAGTGCTGGTATTATAGGTGTGTGAGCCACCACACCTGACCTTAATTTTTTAAAGCCAAGCCAAGCTATGGGTTTGTTCCCTCAAATACTTATGAGTTGAGTAAATTCTTCTCCTTTTAAGGTCCCAAGATAACTTAGAGCTCCTAGATCTGTTAGAAAGTGACATTCTTTACTTACCACATGTTAGAAACCGTCTACAGGGACTGTGGAGGCAAGGTATGAGGCCAGTTCCCCAAAAGACTTTTATAGGTTTTACAAGTCAAGTTTGATTCCTTAAATGAAAGCACATCATTCCAGTCAAAGCCTTGGTAAAATAGCCAGTGTCTAGGATTGTGTCCTGTTACAAAGGAAAACAGATTCCTTTTTTTTTCCCCAGACTGGAATGCAATGGTGAGATCTCAGCTCATTGCAACCTCTGCCTCCTGGGTTCAAGTGATTCTCCTGCCTCAACTTCCCAAGTAGCTGGGATTACAGGCACCCATCACTGTGCCCGGCTAAATTTTGTATTTTTAGTAGAGACAGCATTTCTCCATGTTAGCCAGGCTGGTCTTGAACTTCTGACCTCAGGTGATGCATTCACCTCAGCTTCCCAAAGTGCTGGGATTATAGGTGGGAGCCACCACACCTGGCCAAAAACAGAGTCTTATTGCACTTATGCAAATAACTATTTTGCCATAGATTAAGAACATTCACAAATAGTTTCCAAGTTCTGGAGAAATTATGTAGAGAGAAACAAATATGCCCCCAATTTTGTTCACAGGAGTATACGTTACTCAATTGTTAAAAGCTGTAAGTAGCTCAAAATAAAAGTTTTCTTGGCTCTGAAAAACAAAACAAAGGATTGGCAACATTTTAAGCAAAACGTTAAAAAGATTATTTTAGACTTCTCTTAGTTTAGTCCATGTGCAGTTAACTCCTGTTTGATAGTCATGGAACATTTCAGCTCTCCATGAGAGTCCTGAAAGTTTTTTCCTCTATTCTGATGTCAGTCTCCAAAGTTATCAGAAAACCTGCATTCAAGAACACCTGCTAGAGTTCTATATAAATCACCTTCTAAAAAGGATCAAAAGAAGACAACAATTGTCTGTGGATGACAAAACATCTTAGGATAGCCACAGTTAAAAACATAATTGACAGATTTGGCTAACTCTGTAGCATACAATGATTTTGTGTAATAATTATAGTTATGAATAACATACACTAAGTCATTTCAGAATTATAAATTTCCTGTAATTTTGGAACATATACCAATAATGTATTTATACAAATGCAGCTCAAAGAAAACCAATCACCATTTTACATTTGATAATGCTTCCTGTATGACTTTATACCAGATAAGCCAAATGTCACTGTTGCATTAATGCGTTATTGGTGTCAAACCGAATTCTTAATAAAACCTTACAGACAACTATATTTAATCTTAATCAGTTTGACCATAAGGTAAGATTCTCATAAACTTTTTATAATCCTTTACAATTTTTGTTAAAGAGCTGATTAAAAGCAGGTTTTTGCTCTAAGGAAAAACTGTTGTGATTTTATTCCAATGTATGGAAACACTCAGTAATACCCCTTTAACTTGAACCAATATGTTCAGACACAGAATTTCTTTTACAAGATTAATTTTTCACAAACTTTCCACATTTGTTTAAACCATCAGCCTTATTTTATCTAACTTAAGACAATCATTTAGGCAAAAAAAAGAAAAATTACACATTACCTTGACTTCTTATAATCGTTTACCAAAAGTATATTCTATTTTCCTTACAGGCCTTTTCTGTAGACTGTTTTTTTTAGTAGTCTCAATTACATGTTAAATGTTGACTCTTAGCAACTTTTACTTTTGGTAAAAATGTTGGTAAGTAAGGGATTAACTATGTACTGGGTGTGGAGCCTAGGACTCAGACAGAAGTGCAGATAAGGTCTGATTTTTTCCAGTGTCAAACTTCACATGCACCAGGCCTTACCCAGCTGTAAAGCAGGCAAGTTGTAGAGTTAAGAGTCCTAGTGGCATTTTATGAAGCGTTTAGGAGGTCTAATCACCTTTAAATTGTATATTTCGTGTATAAATTCCCTTTCATAAATTATTTTACAAATTACACAGACAATCTACGACATACTTGGACTTTTTGACTTGTCCTAAACATCTCTCTTTTAAACAACCAGTTATTTTACTTTAGGACAAAAATTTACTATATAAGATCCTTTCTTATATAAAATCTCTTTTCTTTATAACCTTCTTTGCATAGCAAGGGTCATGGCTAATTTCACATGTCCCCAGTCTTATCTAAAATCTAATACTCCAAGACAAATTTAATAACTTTTAAAAGTCAAAGAACCAGTTTATGACCTTGAAGTATTTAGCAAACTTAATATCTAACCCACATAATTTAGACCAAATGTTTACATCATTGAAGATATTTTTATTTTACCAATAATGTTTAAAACTGTTTTTATTTCTCAAAGATTAAGTCACATGAACTAAATAAAATGCATTAAACTTTTTACTTTTATGACAAAAGATTTCATTTCAGCTGTTCTTAAGCCAATTAATCAAAACTCTTTCATATATAAACTCCTCTTCATGAAAGAACAATACAGAGAGACACACAAAATTCACCAGATTCGCTACAGCTTATGACTAGCCTCACAATCCCTTTTTCCCATTAATCAAAACTTTACAGGAGATAAACAGTGATTTTTACCATTCATTCAACTGGTTTGCACAGGATAGAAAGGAAAGCATTGCCTCAGGCAGGGTGGGGAAGGCAAAGACTTCAGAGAGACCAGAGAAAGACCTACTTATTGCTCAGAAGTTCAAGTGGCCACTTGTTGGTCGTGAAGGGATCTTCTCCAGCGGTCCATCATTTCTCACATTTTCCCCTTTTTAGGGAAGATTAAGCTTCCAATGTTCCATGATCCTGTACATGCCTAATCCTGTCACCTATAGCCATCAGCAAAGAGTGTAAGACAGATTAATCCAAAGAGAATAGCAGTTCACATCCCATAGTGCCAAACCCATTCTCAGCCAAAAGGGACTTTACCGAGAGAGGCCTCCAACCCCCTAAATCTTATAAGAGACCCTAACCCTCCTAAGTTGGGCCTCTAACCCAAGGTTGGTCAAGCGTCCTTGCTTTTTATTAAGAGGGGTTTCTAACCCACTGTCTTAGGAGAGACTTTGACTCCCCTAAGTTGGGCCTCTGATCCAATCCCTTTATTTACCCAGGTATCCCACCACTTACTCAGACTCAGCTGATCAGTGCTGCGGTCCATTTCCTTTGGATCAGGGGGTTTCTTCAGTATTGTCCCTTCAGGATTTGCCAGAAAGATGTTACTGAGCCCCACCACTTGCCCAAAGTTAGCATTTGGGTCAGGGGTTTCCTTACTATAGTCCATTCCATGGTCACCAGAAAGATGTTACAGAAATGGGTCCTGATCCAGACCCCAAGAGAGGGTTCTTGGATCTTGTGCAAGAAAGAATTCAGGGTGAGTCCATAAAGTGAAAGCAAGTTTATTAAGAAAGTAGAGGAATAAAAGAATTCCTGCTCCATAGACAGAGCAGTCCCAAGGCCTGCTGGTTGCCCATTTTTATGGTTATTTCTTGATGATATGCCAAACAAGAGGTGGATTATTGTGCACTTTCTAGACCATATAGGGTAACTGCCTGCCCTTTCTAGACCATATAGGGTAACTTGCTGACATTGCCATGGCATTTGTAAACTGCCATGGTACTTGTGGGAGGGTAGCAGTTAGGACAACCAGAGGTCACTCTCATGGCCTAAGAAGGTTTTGATGAGTTTTGACTGGTTTCTTTATCAGCAAGATTTTTATGATCTATATTTTGTGCTGACCTCCTATCTCATTCTGCAACTTAGAATGCCTTAACCATCTGGAAATGCAGCCCAGTAGGTCTCAGCCTTGTTTTACCCAGCTCCTATTCAAGATGGAGTTGCTCTGGTTCTCACACCTCTGACAATTCCACTCTAGCTATAATGTATTCTTGGTTGGCCACCTCTGGAAATCATCAGTTATGTGCTTGCTTCTGTTCATAAATCCAAGCCTGCTGGTAGATACACAGTATCCACTCATGTAGTATCTGAATCAACCTTCCTGCTCTGGAGGGATTGACATTTTGGATAAAACAACCTCTTAACAGTAGAGAAAACTCTTGCTAGGTACCAATATATATCAACCTAGTGTTTTGTCAATAAATAAGAATGGATTACCATGGATCATTTATACATTTGAGGCAAATCAATACCATGAAAGAAGAGAATCAAGTTTAACCAAATGAATGGTAGAGGTAGAAAGGCTAGCAGTCTACCAAAGATTAATGATCTCCGTTCATGGTGTACAGTTTTCCTGGAATCCACTGCCCAACGAGTGGCAGCATCTCCCAGACACCTTTGCAGCCAGGTAGGTTCATGTGACTAGCTCTCACTAGAGAGCTCTTAACACATTTAAGCAGATATAGTAAGAGTCATTTATTGGCCAAAGTAATCAGGAAGCCAATTTGTCTTTCCCATTTATTTCTTTCCTCATAGTTTCTTCACTTATTTCTTCTACTTAAATGTCACCTCCTTAGATACCTACCCTGAGATTCCTAAATAAAATAGCTCACATTCTGCCCTTGCTCCATGACTCTTAATCTAGCCTATCACCGTGCTTTACTTTTTTTTTTTTTTTTGAGACAGTTTCACTCTTTGTTGCCCAGGCTAGTGTGCAGGGACATGTAATCTCAGCACACTGCAACCTCCACCTCTAGGGTTCAAGTGATTCTCCTGTGTCAGCCTCCCAAGTAGCTGGGATTACAGGCATGAGTCACTGCGCCCAGCTACTTGTTCTTATAGTACCTCTCACTGTATGATTTTTGATTAAATATATCTGTTTATGTGTTATAAAAAAAATCTATCTTCCCCACTGGAAAAACAACTCCATGAGGGCAGGGAATTTAATTTATTGCAGCTATACCCTAGCCCCTATAGCAGTGCGTGTAACCTATCAAACATTCAGTATGTATAGAGAATGAATGATTACAGCTTTGATGGTGGGGAAATGCATGTGCCTCAAGAAGGAGTATCATATCATTCAGTTTTTAGTTAGGTGTCAATACTGAGGTTGTCAAGGAGTGCTAGAGGAACTCTAGGAAGATTTTGTATCCTTTACATATAAGCAGATCCGGTGGGGTGAGGCTTTAAAAAGTCTAAGGCTACAATTTCCAGGTCAGTATATTGACAAGGGTTAAGGGAAGGCATTGAATTTTTGCTGCACCCACCCTTGTTCACAGTGGTCTGTGGCCTCTGTCACTTCCATTACAGTTCTTGGTTATAGTGAGAAGCTGCAGGATGCTTAAGTACTCTCTGTGGGCTGCTGTTTTGTTCAGCTTTCAAACCATAAAGAAGTGTGAAAATTAGGTCACACCTCATGAAATTTAAATAACAAAACACTCTACCTAGTTTAATAATACCCTAGTTATCCCACTGCTACATTTCATTGTGCCTATAAATGGAAATTATTATTTTTGGTTTAGTATCACAACTTGAGATGAATTTCTGCCCATCCTCATATCTGGCCATTGTGGGGGAACTGACATGTTTTATTTATTCTTGTTCCTCAGAATGAATTGGGATGATGAATATTCTCATAGTTCTTTTGACCTACATTGTTTGTTAAATTCATTTCCTGGAGACTTGGAGTTTGAGCAGATCTTCAGTGACATTGATGAAAAGATTGAACAAAATGCTGCAAGGTAAATATTGTTAATTATTTAAAACAATTTGTTTTCACATTTCACTTATATGACATTTACCTGGTCTATTTGTGTCCTGCTCTTAGATAACTTTAGGTTTTAATTATCATTAACTTTCCCCCAAAATATTGATTAGATTTCCCTCTCACTTAAAGTTTACATGATTGTCTTTATCTGAGTAGTATTTTTAAAACTAAAAAATATAAGCACTGTCTTGAAATAGGCAATTAAAGTTTATTGAATTGCTACTAATGTTTTTTTAGAGCTTGTCAATATTGATGTCCTAGATTTTCATTAATATGGTTAGAGTATAAGGTCATGATTGCTTACATTACTAAAAACAGAACATTAAAAGAAATTATTTTTGTATAATATTGGTCATTTTAAGATTCTTTCTCACTTAAGTAGGATGCTAGAGACTTTATAGAGAGTTGCTATACTACGTTAGTCATCACCTATCCCAAAAAGTCTTGTTACCAAATACTGGGGGAAACAGAGATAGCTCAAGGGTTTCTCATTAATATGTGCTCTTTGGTAGAAAGGACTCTGTCTTTATATGTAGTTGCAGACCTATAATCAGGCAGTTACTTATTTGCATCCTTTTGATCAAAGGTTCTAATTTACCTCACATGGGTTACAGATGCGCAAACCACAGTAAAAATTTCTATTGTGTAATGATACATAGCATTTCCTTTTTAAACATTTCTATTGAGTAATGATACGTAGTATTTCCTTTTTTAATTTGAAAACTATTTTACACTGAATTTTAAAATTTTAAATTTTTTTAAAATTTAAAATGCTCCTATGCTATTTTTACTTCTATTTTACATAAGAATAGTTAGTTCTTATTATAACAATGGGCATAAGTAAATTCAAAAGATAGCATATTGTTGGAGAATTATACTTGAAAACAAAATCTTCTCCCATCCCAGAAATCCTCTCCATTAAGATAGTAGAGAAAGGAAACAGTTTTATTATTGAATAAGCATTAAAAACCAGAATACGATGTACATTACAGGCAGTTCATGCAGAGATTGTAAGAATGGAAGGGAATCTCACCCCTTTAAATAGCAAAGCAGACACACTCCATTACATTACATGCTATCAAGATAAACAGTCACTGCTCCTCAGGTAGGAAGACTGGATAGCACATTTTATCACACATAGTTCATCATAACTTTTGGGAAAACCACCCATGTTAGCTAATTGGCTTTATCCTAAGGAGAAACAAACTTTTTTGTATCTTTATGATGGGAGGTAGTTTTATAAATTGGAACAGACAACCACTGAAGTTAGGCTTTTACTCTCTCACAGGAACTGGGAGACTGGGGAGATATCTCCCTTGATGCTTGCATTTTGAAAAGATAGCTCCCTGGTTCTTGAGAAGGGCATTCCTAGGTCACAAAGCTGACAAAAGGACTGCTGGTAAAAGGCATATTTAATCTTCCAGGGAATAGATATGTGGCAAAAGATGAAAAAGTACTTATGATTACAGGCTTGATTGATTGATTGATTGATTGATTGATTGTCAGAGTCTCACTGTGTCCCAGGCTGGAATGCAGTGGCACAATTTCAGCTTACTGGAACCTCCACCTCCCTGGTTCAAGGAATTCTCATGCTTCAGCCTCTCAAGTAGCTGGAATTACAGGTGCCTGCCACCACACCCAGCTAATTTTTGTGTTTTTATTAGACCTGGGGTTTCACCATGTTGGCCAGGCTGGTCTTAAACTCCTGACTTCAAGCGATCCACCTGCCTTGGACTCCCAAAGTGCTGGGATTACAGGCATGAGCCACTGCACCTTGCCTACAGTTACAAACTTTCTAAGGTAAATGCTCTAAGAAAAAAGGAAAGGAGGGAGATCTTTTCTCTTATTTTCAAAAGGGAAAATTAACCTTCTTACTTTTAATTTTTATTTTCTTTTTATACTATACCTATGCATATACATATTACATACGTATTTTAGAAGTAGACTTAACCAAACTCAGAGTGTATAGTTGATATTTCATATAAATATAAAATAACTAATTAATTTTTTGGTTAATTTTGTAACTTTTATGTTTTATAACTATATAACATAATAGTTATAAAACATAAAAGTTATATATAACATAATATAATATAACATAAATGATATAACACATAGTTAACTTGAATGTTATATATTTATATATTTTATGGCACAATTTCCAACTCAAATGAACTTACAAATAAAAATAGTATTTTCTTAAATAGATGAACAAGACATTTACCTAAATTTCAGAGATGGTTATATTTTTAAAAATTGAATTATTTTTTAAAAGGTAAACCTTTTCCTTCACAATGGCATTTAGGTGCCATCAAAATAAAACAGGTTACTGAACTCTGATGCTTTTGTTCTGAATTGCTAATTTTTATTTACTAAACCACTTATACTTAATTTTTTGCCTTACCTAGTCAATAAGAAATCATTTTTAAAAGTAAAACAGTGATTAAAACATTGTATTTGCATTCAAAAGTAGTTATTAGGTCAAAACTCTTATGCTAGTATTAAAAAGAAAATATAGTATGGAACATAGGATATAATTTTTAAATTAAAAACATTTTATTGCCCATATATTAAAACGAACCTAGAGCAGAACTACCTCAAGTGACCATTGATCTTCACAAGGGACAAAATAAGGAAGTAGCTGTATTTGCTGTATGCTACATTTAGAATCAAGTCTATTTTTCATCAAATTCAATTATGTTTTTATTATACTCCAGAGAATAAACATAATAGTAGAGGGTATATATATTTTTTAAAAAAAAACACTGAATAATAACTGTGGTTCAGAAGAGTATAAATCATTTATGCACTCATTTATTGCCTTCTAACAGAATAGCTTTTAGAAAATTGTATGTCATGACGAATCAGTTATACCACACTTACACTGCAGTAGTTGAATTACCCTTGGCATTTTTGTATTCTAACAGTTCTATTTATCTCGCAGTAGTGTACATTGAATAAGTAATGAACATCTGTATGGTATAGGTTTCCTCCATACTTTTAAAAGAAAAAAAATTAGTAATTCATCTTAAAATATGGTATTTTTTTCTACACTTGAGTTTTTAAAGCAGCAGTGACCCTGACATCTATTTGTGAATTCTCTCTTCTTAATGGCATCAGGTTTTATGAGCCACAGGTTCTATTGCGTCCCCAAAGCAGTGATTCCACCAGAATAGAGCAGTATGCCCAAAGGTCACTGAACCTTCACCCACCCTTCAAGAGAGGCTGTCATTCTCAGACCACTTCACTTTTACTTTCTCGTTTCCATTCAAGTCAGACCTAGGTGACTAGTAAATCTGACAGCAGAAATTAGTGATGATGAATCATTTATTCAAACCCATATCAAAGTAGGCTACAAGAGGTCAATAACCTGCCAAAGAGAAACACTATGAATGTTATACCACAATATCATTAGTTCCCTAACTGAAATCTGTGTATAGCAGTAATGAATTGAGTGGAACTTATTAGTTTAACAAGATATTGAGGTACAGAAGTTCTTCTGGGCTCACAATAGGTATATTTTTTAGTTATATAAAAATGTATTGGCCAGGCATAGTGGCTCACTCCTGTAATCCCAGCACTTTGGGAGGCCGAGGCAAGCAGATCACAAGGTCAGGAATTTGAGACCAGCCTGGCCGATATGGTGAAACCCCTGTCTCAACTAACAATGGAAAAATTAGCCAGACATGGTGCATGCCTATAGTCCAAGCTACTCAGGAGCCTGAGGCAGGAGAATCACTTGAAACTGGGAGGTGGAGGTTGCAGTGAGCTGAGACAGCACCACTGCACTCCAGCCTGAGCGAGAGAGCGAGACTGTCTCAAAAAAAAAAAAAAAAAAAAGACACAGAATGATTCCCCCCCCTTAATGTTCAGTTGAATAAATATAATTGTTTCTTAACAATTTATTTTATTATTTCATTTTCTTTTCTTCTTTTTTTTTTTTTAATATAAAGACGGGGTTTCACCATGTTGGTCAGGCTGGTCTTGAACTCCCGACCTCAGGTGATCTGCCCGCCTTGGCCTCCAAAGTACTTGGATTACAAGTGTGAGCCATCACGCCCAGCCTTACTTCTCCATTTTCTAATTATAGACTGTGTGTGTGCCTTAGGAGGTAAGTTTTGCTGCTGCCAATGCAGCTTGACTACATTTTTTTTTTTTTTTTTTTTTTTTGGTATAAAGAAAGATGTAGTCTCAACACTTTGGGAGGCTGAGGCAGGAAGATCGCCTAAGGCCAGGAATTTAAGACTTGACTGGGTAACATAGCAAGTTCCCATCTCTACTGTAAAAAAAAAATTAGCCCAGTCATGGTTGGTGGCTCACTTGTGGTCCTAGCTACTCTGGAGGCTGAGGTGGAAGGACTGCCTGAGCCCAGGAATTTGAGGCTGCACACACTGTTGTACTCTAGCTTGGGCAACAGCCTGTCTGGAAAGGAAGGGAGGAAATGAAAGAGAAAGGGAAATGAGGAAATGAAAGAAAATGAAAAAGGAAAGTAAAGAGGGAGGGAGGAGTAGAGGAAGGGAAGAAGGAAGGAGCAAGAAGTGCTACCAGGTCAGGTGTGGTGGCTCATACCTGTAATCCCAGCACTTTGGGAGGCTGAGGTGTGCAGATAGCTTGAGCTCAGGAATCTGAGACCATCCTGGGCAACATGGTGAAACACTGTCTCTACAAAAAAACAAAAACAAAAATTAGTTGGTATGGTGGCACACCCCTGTGGTCCTAGCTACTTGGGGTGCTGAGGTGGGAGGATTGTTTGATCCTGGGAAGTGGAGGCTACAGTGAGCCGTGATTGCACCACTGCACACCAGCTGGGCAACAATGTGAAACAGTGTCTCAAAAAAGAGAATTGCTACCAGTAATAATACTATTTGACTTAATCTAGAAAATGCGGAGAGAGGGGAGGCATTTAACCATGCTTATTAATGAGCGGGTACATATTCCATAGATTATACTTATTTTTTATATAATACTTAAATT